ACTGGAATCTGTCTTCAGTACAGTGACAAGAAGGACATTTTATGAGACTGTGTCATAATTCTGGCACCATGGATAGCTAGACTCAGCCAGCATTACCACACGTGACATAAAATATGTATGTTCTTCTTTTCAACTGCTGTCAGTTCATAGTTACATCACATATACTCGTCTGTACTAATCAGCAACGACAACATTTGGAATTGCCTGGGTCTGTTTTTTTTCACATATGGAAACCATAACAAAGGTTCAATTATCCACGTTCTTTCTTTTTTTTTCCCCATCGACACAGAGGAATGCTACACTTGGGGCTTTTAACGAGGGCCAACTCAAATTGGACGGAAGAGGCAAAAGATAGTCACAGTGTCATTTCTGGATTGAATTAACTTTTACTACTAAAACATTGGCATGTTTTAGTAGTAAAAGGATAGAGAATAGTTTTTAAAAATGTGCTTTAAATCCATGTTAGTCCAGAATATTAACCTGATAATTAAAATTCATGCAAATGTTCAGGCTTTGGTAGATGTAAAAGTTTTCTATTACTCTTCACCATTAAAGGGTAGGTTTCCATATCCCCTTTTCTTTACAGGGCTACAAATCCTCATGTTGTTTTATAGGTTGTTCTTAATCAGAAACACCTGACTGCTTCTAGATCCGATTGTCCTGAAACAGCAAAATTAAATGGATTCAAAAAGCCACTTGTAAAACCAAAATGATGCATTATAACTATTTTTATTTAACTTTATACCTTCTCTGGGAAACTATCCCACATAGTTTTGCCAGAATGTTCAAATGGAAAACCAAACAACTGCCTCTGTCAAGAGTATTCACTCAACCTTGTCCTCTGATGGTGATAAAACATAATGTTTTTGTCATCTGCTTCTTTTGCAGGTTATCCTCCTCTGCAGCCTGCGTCTTTCAAGCCTCAATCAGCCAGCCGCCAAGGTATTGTAGCAGGCTCTGCCATTCTACTACATCAGTGCAAAAAAATGGAAAAGCTGTGAATAATTTGTAGCCTGAGAGTGCGAGGGAGTGGGAACTGGATGTGTTTAGTTTAAAGAGGTGTGGGCGGACTGTGGAAGGATTTTAGCTCGTCTGCTGGCACTTACCAGGAGGTTATACTCTGTGACATTTGGTGATGATTAAGAAAATGGCATCATTGAAGTAGATAGGCTATGTTTACTGAAACAAAGACCCATTTCTTCCTTTTAGCTACTTACCGACCCAGAAAAGCACACAAATTCTTAATTGAATCAATTGATCCTGTATGATAATATTTAACATACTACTACAGACTCATAGGAATGTAACGTCTTTAAAAATAAAGCTGTCAACCCTTCAGCTCACAGCAGTGACTCTAAACAATAAATAAAACTTACACTTTCTTGTACCTTCTAGTTCCTTTGGCAGCAAAGGTGCCGTGGAATCCGATGTATCAAACTCCAGTTGAATCACCAGGTAAAATCCATCTTGAAATCATCTCTCTTAAATTTAGTAACTGTATCGATAAAGAAAAAAAAGTATCCAAATCATCAGCCAAAATATGAGGATTTGTGAAGAAGTTAAAGTCACTGTATGGAGAAATTGAGAAATTGCACTGTAATTTATCTTTGAAACTTGACACTTACACGACTTAAATACATGTTTTTCGTTCCAGTGTCAGTCGTCAACAGCGCCTTTGCTGATCCCTTCTCCTTCTCTGCTGGCCTCACGCAGCCGCCCCTCTCTGCAGACTCTGGCACCATCCGCTTCAACAGAGTTCTTGTCAATGACGGTGGACACTACAATCCCCACACAGGTACACAAAAACAAAAAATATTTAACATTTGTTGCAATGTCGCTATGTATACATGATCCTGTTTGCTCATGAAGTGTCCCAGAATAATGCACAGTTGTGTAATGGTTGTATTTACTGTATATTTACTGTATTTACTTAACCCCTAGTTGCTCCAGAGGCATGTGACCTCTGACATATGTAGCAATTGTAAGTCGCTTTGGATAAAAGCGTTAGCTAAATGAATAAATGTATATTCACAGACATTTATCAGCTAACTCTGCAGTCCAAATGAATGCTCCGTGTCTGCTGCATGTGTAAATAAGCAACCATTTGCCATTACAATTTAACAGGGTGATAATACATAGTAATCAAAATAACACACTGCTGTACTGCCCCCATTAATGCATGTTTCTTTTTATTGTTTAAATTGTGATAATTACACAATAGAAAGTGATGATCTTTCATTAACACACACATGCTTGAATCTAAAATCATAATTACACAATCACACATTATTAAATTGGGATGAAATGTGTCATTCACATCTGAAAGAATTCATGCAAGTCCTGGCTGTGGTCTTCACAATATAACTGGGAATTAGCCTGCAATTTTATAGATTTAAGTTTAGGGACAAGTTTGGCGACAATGGCTCCAGATGAATTTTAAACCAGCTTTGGAAAATGGAGAAATCCAGGGCTGAGTCAAACCATCCAAAGTTAATTTAAAGGTTCCCAATCTTTGAAGCCTTGCTTTCTGAAAGCATACTTCCTGTTAATAATGGCTTACCTTAAAGTTTATCTGAAGTTAATATGAGGCTTCGGTAGTGAGTTAATAAAATCAAGTGGATATGTTTCAAAGTTACTTTCTTTTTAACACAAAATTCCCTCTTTGGATTTCCCTGGACAGTGTTTCCCTGTTGAGATTCAGTGGAAGGAACAAAATGTTGCATTAAGAAGACTAACTTTGGAAGATATCCACTTGACTAATTTAGATGGCTGAAGCCCATTAGCTTCAGAAAAACTTTGTACAGAATGAGGACTGTGGATATTGGGAAGGGCATTAGGGCGCGATCTCTTAAACATATGGACCTGACTATTGTTTTTAAAAAAAGACCTGTGATCCTAACCTAATTCAGTTATTCATGTAGGCTTTAAAAAAAAAACAGGATTTAGGAGTAACAAACATTAGTAGCCATCTGACTGTGTGTAACAAACTACATCACATTATTGATCTTACCCACACTTTCATCTCTACAGGGATCTTCACTGTACCTCTGGATGGCCGATACCTCATTTCAGGGCTGCTGACTGCAAAGCAGGGTGACCGGGTACAAGCTGTGCTGTCCGTGTCTAACCGCAGTGTCCAGAGGCTGCAGAGCTCAGCGGGGCCTGTGGCCGGTCAACATGGGGGCCCAGCTGGTGGTAACTGCTGCTCTGGAGGCTCAGTATCCTTCAGTCTAATCCTGCCGCTGAGGAAAGGAGACCGCGTGGGCCTGGTGAGGACCGGAGGCCAGCTGGCCACCACAGAGGCCAGGGAGATCCTCTCCACCTACAGTGCTATCTTTCTGTATGCACCACAGGCCAAAAGATAGCTGGAGCTCAGTTGGGCAGTAACAGCAAGGACTGGTTTGTTCCCAGATAGTTGGACTGGAGGAAATGTTGAAGAAAGTATAGTTGTCACTGATTTGCTGTGATGCAACTATGTTACCATGCAGCACCACTGTGTGAAGATCCTCAGCTATAAATTCAGTTAAAGATTCAGAAAATTGCAATTTGTAAGCCATTTGCCAAATATACCTGAATACAAGAAGCAGGATTTGTTTCTAATATATTTTATTATCAAGCTGCCGTTTTGTAGCTATTGTGAATGTATTGTGTAAATAAGTGTTTATAAATTAACATTAAAATTCATAAATGTAATTATTTTAACAAAACCATCTCAAAAACTCACTATGGAGTATGAGCAACATCAGCAGAATATTGTTAGATAATAAACCACAATGCATCACCTTATAGTACGAGTTTGCTTCATCTTACTGTGTAATCTACACTGTAGAATGACAAAATTATTAATAAACATACATTAAGAGATGAAAGCAGGAGGTTTAGCAACACAACAAGCTTTTATTAATGTTGCAAACTTGGCTGGCTGCAGAAAGATGAGGTTAGAAGGCAAAAAACCCCATTTGGGTCATTACATACAGTGGGTGTGGAAGAAAAGCAAATTTCCCCTCGCATCACTCCTGAGACTTAAAATATTCCAACAGCAAACTGTAAGACGCAGGGAGTGTGCATTTAGCCTTCAGTTCAGCCTGTTAACCTTCAAAAGAGAAAAATACAGATTTCTGTTCTAACAGTCCACTCACTGTTTTTCTAATCTTGTGTTATAAAATAAAAGAAACTGAAATGTGGATTTAAGCTGCAATAGCCTCATTCATGTAAACAACAGTTACCACTAGCGGTGGTTACTTTTGACTCAGACTGGAGACAAAAAAAAAAAAGTGCAGCACACAAATGTATTCAGTTAGAAACTTTATTTAATAGAAATATGACCACAAGCCACACTTTGTTAGCTTCATTAGGCCTGTAATTTTTTTCTTCTTCATACAATGTACTTTGTTCTTTAAACATACTTAAACCACATCTGTATACAAATCAAACACAGCATACACTTAAGGTATTTCTGTTGGTCAGTCACAATCAAATAGCAAGTATTACCTCCAAACAGAATGAAACAAACAGTCCCACAGAAGAGCACACACTTACAGGAAGAAAATAATAAAACAAAAAGGCAAAGACAGAACAATGTGATGATCAGCTAGATTTTCCATAGCAGTTGAGTGAGAACAAACAATTTTATATACCATGTTTCCCAGGACCACAGAGGATGAAGTGTGATTCTTCCACACAAGATGCTTTACTTTCATAGAAAGAATGGAATTAATTTTGTTATTCATAACATATCTATTTGACTTCACCAAACTTTGTAGAGAACAAGCAAATAAATGAAAGCGGAACACGCATCTTAATAATCACAAAAACATCTGGGCTACAGAGTGAATGTGGAAACACGTCAGCAAAATCATGACAGTGAAAAAAATCTAGATGTAGCATCATCGTAAAATTGTGCTTTTTTTCATTAAATGGTTTTTGACTGTCAAGGCTCGCTCTGATTTTTAATCCTCACTAGCACATATTAGCACGTCACGGTTTCTCTCATGTTGGAGGTATGGTCCATGTCTGTGGTGTGGCACATCTGCCCACAAGTCTTTTCCTAAAACACACACACACACACACACACACACACACACACACACACACACACACACAGATAATGCCAGTGAGCCAGCGAAGCGCATGAAAAAGCTTCCTGTACACTATCAAGTATTTACTGTTTATCTCCAAACAAGACCCAATGGCTCTTCCTCTGTTCACCAGAGGCATCGCGTCTTTTTTCTTCATCTCTCATTCTCTCTCGCTCTCCCTCTCACACACACACGCTAAGGGGTAGCTCTGTTCAACCCCCAAAATAAAAATGTTGCTTTAAATCCGTACATTTTGCCTTGCAACCTACAAATACCAATCCCCTTTAAACAATGACTTAGAACATATATCAGAATAGCTGGTTTGTCTGATGTCAGAAGGTCTCACACACAACAAAGAGGTAAAACTAGAACTCTTCACCTTGCATTAATTGCATACTCTGGTCTACGGTCTATGAAGACCTTCAGTGAAGTGCATGTGGGTGAGAGGCGTTCTGAGCTACATCTCTGGGTGCAGCCTTGACAAAGTGCGTTGGATAAGTCTCGGTAAAGCCACGGAACATAAGAAAAGGGGGAATAATACTGTCACCCCTGCAGCAGCAGCACGCACACAAACACACACACTTACATCATCCCATAGTCATCCTACAGAGGACCTCGCAAACGGAAATCCTTCATTTTAAGCTCACTCCAGATCTGCTTATTTCTTTTGTTCCAACTCAAGCGTTATCTTTTACACTTACACACATATTTTAATACTAAAGCTCCAGATTCTGAGGTCTGCTAAGGAATGTGTATGAACCTTCCATGTTTAAAGTTTCACTGAAAAACAAGGAATACAGATCGCAGTGAAAATGGGATACAAGACACAAAAAAATCGTACAAGGCCTAGCAGTTAAGTGCGTGTTAACCTGTGACCAACCATACAAAACACCAATTTAAATTACTTCCACATTGCATTGGTGATAAATTACTTTTTCAGACAAGCAAAGGCATCACGATAGAAATCAATAACTTAAACATTTCAATTATCATAAATAATGACTTCATTGTTAACAAAACACTTGATTCGCCAGAGGCTGTATAACAGAATAAACATATTAAAATACTAGCAAGACAATACACCATGAAGCTGCTTCATTTTGTTTAAGTCACATCTAAGTGTGCATCTTCACATACTTGTTGGCAAAAGTCCCTGGTATGACCGTGAATATTAACAATAACAAACACGACTCAGTCAGTACGAACGTCGTGAGCTCTCCTCTCCAGGGGAAACGTGGCAATCTGAAATCAGTGATCCAATGACGACAGTCAGTCCAGACTCGAGGTGTCAGAAACAAACCTACAGGTGCCTTTTCTACAGAAGGTTTCTGGAAGCTAACCATTGTGTATGGTTCTTAGGTGGTGTGGTAGTTATTTGCCAGCCATTATCACTATTTTCCTTGATGTTTTAGAACAGAATAAAGCCTCCAAATCAAAGCTGGATACCTGCATCTAGGCAAACATAGCAGCCACAGCAAGATATTACCAGCACATGACTAGTGGTTCTCATTTTTTAATTAACAGCATGTCTTTTTTTCTTTCAACATTTAATTTTGCTTCTTCAGGGCGTTCAGAAAACAATTGTCTTTTCCTTCGAGGGCTAATGCCTCGTGTGCAGCTTCAGTTGCCTTCCTGATGGCAAATACAGACCATCCTGTTAGCTAGAAGTTACAGAGAGAAAAGATGGGTCTCAGGCCTTTATCCCCGTACTGTGATGGGGACTAAAAGAGTGCTCTGTGGGTTAGGATGCCTTAACAGGCACAGGGAAAGATGATGATTTAGTTGTTGATTAGTCTCTTTTCTCCCAGGGATGAACGTTTTCAAGGGTTATTCACCAGGATTTACTGTTCTGGAGATGCCACATTCATTGTAGAGTTTAGTGTGTGCGTGTCTGAGTACTAAATAGGAAGGTTTAGGGTTCCAGTCCATGTGTTTCCTGGAGATGCATTTAAGTGCACAGTCCAGCTGCATGTATATGAATACCTTGGTATCCATATGTGCTGGATCAGAGCAGATCATCAGGGTTGATGACCGGTATGGGCTGTCTCCAGTAACAGAACGAGCTGTACTCGGGCATGACAAATGCCTCGTTCTGCTCTTTACTCAGCAGAGGGAACACATGCTCCACCAGCTCACTAAGCCTGCTGTATCTGTGGAGAAAATAAGACAGAGAAAAGGCAGAAAAGGGGGGATAGACAGAGACGGAGAATAGACATAAGTAAATGAATTAAAATACTGAAACGTGGAACAATTATTTCTAGCTAGTTAACTCTTAAAAAGTTGTAGGTTTTAAATAAAATGCCTAAATACAGGAAGTAAAACTAAAGCTGCATTTATTTTGATTTTATTTTAGCTCTGTTTCGTTCTGCACCAGCTAGTTGCTAACTTTGTCTTTCTTTTGTATGGCGCCGGGAGGGAAGGGTAGTCACTTAATCAGATTTTTTAGCTCAAAACAGCTGCTGGAAACAACACAGTTTGATCTCTTGTCAACATAAATATATTGATTAGTGGAACTTTAAGCTAATGTTTTTATCTCTTAAAATATCACTTTATACATGTGTAGTACAAACTCTAATGGTACCAATGGGTTATCCTTACTTTTGTGAATCTTCACAGTGAGACAGACACAACCAGTCACTTATGTACTTACGAGGACTTGTTGCCCTTGGTCTGTTCCTGGATCAGCTCTCCCTTGGGATTGACTGTAAAAATCCTACACACTGGGACTCCCACCTCCTTATAGGCAAACACATCCTGTGTGGAAACAAACAAGTTTAAGGCTCGCTCTGTGATCCAAATGTATATAAAATGGAAGCCACTGGAATTCAAAACATGGACTTACAACATACAAGATAGTATTTCCAATTATGATTAGTTAAAAAACACACAAAATGAAAATTGTTCCTCTTAGATACAAGTATGTGAATAAAACTAATTTATACGGTTAAAAAAAATGAGGAGCTATTCCTTTAAATGCCATCTGAGAACACACAGCTCATACATAATACACACTGGTACAAACTGACATAAGCATGTTAATAGCATTAACCACAGATTTCGTGCTCCATCTAATGGCAATATTTCTAGAGTTTATGTTTTGGTGGGCAAGAGCTGTAAAGTGAGTGTAATTTTCTGCTTTTCTTTGGCGAGCGTAGGAGACAGACAGAGGTGTGATGGCTGACCCAGTGCTTCATCTGGGTGTTGGTGTTTATGCAGCTGAAGATGGACGCTGTGCCCAGCTTGAGCTCCCTTCCACAGACAATGTCACAAGGGACCAAACTCCGCTAGTGACCTCAGCTCAGGTTCAGCCCAGTGCTGATTTCATGTTTGTCTCTGCTAATGGATATGTTGATCTTACAATACACCATGACTGCATCGACTTCTGGAAAACACAGCTCTCTGACATGTATAAGTGAATGATTTCATGTCTGGGAGTCTGACATCTTCAAACATCCATTAACTCACATTTGTTCTATTTCCAAAGGCGGCGTAGAATGGCTGCTTGTTATGCTGGAACAGGTTCTTAATATCTGTAAGGCATTCAATCTTGAAGATCTCTGGTTTCTTCTCAATTACCTCCCTGAAGCAAACAGACAGTTTGATTAGAGCGACGTACAAGTGCATTTCCTAACTGTGGGTCAAGTCTGAATTAGAGTCAACTTGGCCAGAAAAATGTTTATTTTCTCTCAACATTCTTTCTTCTCTTTTCTTTAGGTTAGCTTTAGCTTTTTTTTCTTATACATAAAAGGAATAAACTGTGCAAAACATCTAAAAAACGAACAAAACCAATGTCGGTTAGCTAGCATTCTTGATGGAAGTCCAAAAGCGGGGATGGTGGGGACGTTTCGGTTGCATGCAAAAGAAGAGAGCCATGTATACAATGCAAATATGTACAAGTTAAAGAAATCACTCAAAACCCCCCCATGCAGTAGGTTGCTATGGTGACAGATTAACCATGAAGTACAAGGTAAAGGTCAGAAAGAAATTGCCATGATTTATAATTAAAATGAAAATACAGCAGGAAATACAACATTCAACTATTAATTAAACAAAGTTTACTTGTAAGGGTACAACTGAGAAGAACGTGCCTGAAATTGAGAATGGGCCTATATGTCATAACAAAGCGTGCATTTTACGCTTTGTCTGTTTGTGCATAAGCATGTAAGCCAGAGGGTAGGAGATGGTCACAGTAATTTAGCGATGTGGCCAACAAGCAACTGACATGCAAAGCTACAGCTATATGTGTAGTGTTCTGGTTGTTTAATTAACTAGACATTAACATATGCTGCTGACATTTTCTGACATTAACTGACACATATGGGCTTGTTTGAAAAATGATAAGGAGGATTTAATGTATATGATGAGTATTTATGAGTTTTTTTTATTATGACACTGAAACTGGTAGCCATTTATTCTTATACCTGTGGAAGGCAGAGAAGAGGCTGCTGGGAGACAGCATGAGAGGTCCCCGGGGGTAGAATGGTGCCTCCATCATTGACCCACTGCAGGTAACCTCTCGTCATGTCCGCCATGCCAATAGCCCGCGCTGAGCAATACAAGAACTTGTAGCCATTCCTGCCAACAGGGAGAGCCGTCCTCATTAACCATTGTTCCAGTACAGTTTGATATAATGACCATCGTTAGCAATTACTAAGAATAGCACTTTAATAAGTTCAGATGCTTTCATAAAGTCATTCCATCCATCAGCTATGGGGGGTTAGGTTCCCAGCTGACATTGGGTGAGAGGCGGATTAGGGGACAGGGCTGACACAGAGACAGACAAGGCCCCAACCTTCCAGATTTTTTTCATTGTTTACCACTCTGCCGCCCTGAAGTCATACCAATTCAATGAAAATTTTACTGAGGAAATAATTTATTACTACTATTGGTCACAATAGCCTATTTCCTCCTATGTGTATTACGTCTATGAAGATTCTCAGTCATCCAGGTCATAGTTATCCAACGAAGGTTAAAATCAAGGGCAACTGGACTTGGTTGAAGATACTGGAAGACGTTTTGTCCCTCATCCAAAGGACTTCTTCAGTTCTGACTGACTGGCAAGGAAACTCAGCTATTTAACCTCAGTGGGGTCGTTGGCAAGTGTCATCGATACCGCTGGTTCGTTAGTGTTCCTTGTTTCTGTGACGACAGTCGTTACAGTCGTTAAGACTACCTGTGGCCAAGACTGAACGACCATCGTTGGCATCTTCACCTGAGGCCAATAGGTTACGTTTGTTGAGTTTCCTGGGAAGTGATGAAAGGACAGCATTGTAAGTGGGGGATAAGTGGGGGATAAGTGGTGGCGTAGACCCCCTCCCCTGTTCAATGACAGCTTCTCAACTACACCAGGGTTGAGAAGCCGTCACTGAACAGGGGAGGGGGGTCTTAACGACTGTAACGACTGTCGTCACAGAAACAAGGAACACTAACGAACCAGCGGTATCGATGACCCGGGCCAACTGAGGTTAAATAGCTGAGTTTCCCTGCCAGTCAGTCAGAACTGAAGAAGTCCTTTGGATGAGGGACGAAACGTCTTCCAGTATCTTCAACCAAGTCCAGTTGCCCTTGATTTTAACCTTCGTTGGATATGTGTATTACATTTTCTATTCAGGTCAAGATTAAAGGTTTCAAACTTGAACAATGACAAAAGTGGTCAAACAATGACACAGACTTTCATGGTGTTTTTAGTTTCTGCTATAATTCTGTCTTGATTAGAGTTGAACTTCCTGAGTCATCCACCTCAAAGCACCCCACGCAAACACTGGGAGAAAACATCAACTCCACAGGGAGACGATTGGGAATCAAACCCAGACAGATGCTAACCACTGAACAACCGTTCTTGCTTCCTCTGTGATTAATCAGTGTTGTTGTGCACTTACTCAGCTACTGAGTGGTAGAGCTTGGCAATTCCCTGGTGGGTCCAGTCCTTCCCCAGCTGTGGCAGGATTTGTCCAAACACATCAGACCTAAAACATCAAACAAACACTGCATGAAGACAGAGATATTCCCACAGAGATATTAAGCTCTATCCAGTCTGGAACTAAGGCAGCAGACATCAGGTTTGTGTCAAAAGAGATGTCTTTAAGCTAATTAAACTGCTTAACTTAGAAAAATTTGATTATTTACTTAATATCCGCCATTTGAGAACGACTTAAAATTGTCCGTAGAAATGAAGTAGCTAAGAAAACTGCAATCCTTCCTTTGTTTCGTTCATTTAACTCTACATAATCCAACCCATCCAATGTTCTGTAACAGCTCAAATCACTGTTCATTCACCCGCTGGCCTCCATCTGTGGTGTACACACAAATAATCAAATGAAGAACTAGGGCTAAAAAATTACCGATATTGCGATTGCAATTTAATATGCAATTCTTTAAGCTCTTTATCTTTTGTATTACTCAAAACTGACAAGCAATAAATCAGTGTGTAGTATGACCAACACAATATTAGATTAGACATACACTGTTCTTTCTTGTAGGCCAGGCCTGTGTTACATGTGTGATATAGGCGCGTGCTGAGATCGCCACAATACGCTAACCGTACTACATGTGTCTTTCTGTTGTGCATTTTTTCTGTCCGTCTAAGCGGCGGATTGCCCGATGATTTCACCTGCCGCCAACAACAATTTATGCTAATTTTATTCTTTGTTTGACACTAAAGTTTGTGCAGTCTCAGGTTCTGTCAAGCCTGAGGCCATTGTACAACAAGTTACGGTGCAGCGTCGCGTGCCAAGTTGATGCTTCCTTTGTAGACTGCTTTACTCTCGCGTATCATGTGACCACAGCGTAATCACAGCCTTTGCGATTAGATTTTATCATATCGCAATAATACTGCAAATGTAATTAATCGTTCAGCCCAATAAAGAACCTTATTTCACAGTGTATGGGCTATCTATAGACATGGGGGAATGACACTACACATCTACGGTTGCTGTCTTGCTAATGCACAAATTACTTCCTCAGCCTTTTGCATGATTTGACACTTTATATTACAAAAAGTGGAACAGGCTTCTACATGAATACTAGAAAGAGAATAACAGTTTACTCTACATATATGAACATGCTTAACTAATATTTGGTATTTATTAAGAATATATTATAGAAGATGCACAAGCAGCTGATAATTTAGGCAACCTAAGAGAATCCATCTGAGCAACATCCCATGTAAAGGTTTGCAACAATTACAGTAATTTACTGTGGTGTTTAGTACTGCCCACAAAATCAGTATAGTTAAAATGTTGTTAAAAACTGTGTTTCCCTACTTTCACTAAAAGCTTTTGCCACAAATTCTTGTTCAGTATTTATCTGTACATTCTCATGCTATGTAAGATTCAGAATGAAGCTCTGCATAATTGCTCTGTTTAGAGGGGTTATGAAGGTTGCTGTGAGTGACCTAGAGCCACATACTTGGTGATGGTGCCATCGATGTCAGAGATAATGACTTTGTCATCCCAGTTCCAAAGGTAAATGGTGCCCTCGCAGCGGCACGTGCCCTGGTATTGGGTGGTGATGCTAAATGTCACATCGTTAGGTCCCTCCTTTAGCTTCAGACTGGCCTGGTAAACACAAGGCAAAAAGTGAAGGCATCTGGAGGCACAGGAAATCTCATTCATTAAACATGTAATCCAAGAGTGTGGGCATTACTCAACAAGATGGTTTGTTTTGCCACAGTACAATGAACATGTGCAGGTCTTCAGAGCCCCCTACAGACCGTAAGTGGAGCAAACACTATGCAGTTCATGGCTAGCCAGCAGAGGGAGCGCTACACTACAAAATGAATGCTTAAAAGAACAAATCTATTGTAGTATTCTCAAGTTTGGTTCTGATCAATCATGTATTCTAAAACCCAGCTTAACATTTTTGTATGAAAAATAAACAAATAAAAGTAACACTTAATAATGTAAAAAGGAATTGGGCAGTAGAATGATATTCCGAAGAAGTGAATAAGAAGTAATTAAGTACTAGGCTATATGATTTTGAGGAAGGAAAATACAAGTGAGAATGTACTTACTATCTGATCAGAGGAGAGGCGTAGTGACTTCCTGTAAGTGTGTGGGCTGGGGTGGTGCTGGCCATCTATCGGCTGCAGTCTCTCCTGACAGCTCACAGCGCTCACCTCCTTGGCCTCTTCGTCACTTGATGAATCTCCTGCTTTAGGCCTACACGGAAACAAAAACAATTAATCTTTAAACTTTATATAAATTAATTACTTGAAAAAAATAAATGAAGGCTTATGGATAAAATAACCAATCTATGACCATTGTAAACAACACTTTTGGTTGTTTACCTCTTTTTTTATCAAATTATTTTGTCATATTCTAAACTGTTCTAGACTTTAAGATGATTAAATACATAACACATATTGACTTAACATACTCTCCCCTTCATAATCTGCCTTGTAATACTGCCAACACACCTTTGTTTGTCGACTTCTCTCGTCTCTCACAATATAATGCTATTAAGCCAAGCGGTCATAAAACAGCAGACTTATGAAGCTGTAGAGGTCAACGTGTCACTGAACTCACTTGACTTGAGTGAGTCTCATTAAACTCTTAATACCACTTACGGCAAAGGCAGTTTCTCCTGAGAAATGGAGGGTCCTTCCTCTTCCAGATGAGACTCTTCCTTGGTTTCAAGCTTGGTCTCCGACTGGAAGAATAGAGGGGAAATATCCCAAGATATAAAGTACATATAAAAACAAAAGCCTGGATGTGAGTCTTACTAAAAGTGAAACTGAAAGTTTAATGTGCTGCACAAGTTTTGTTTTCGATATGTGCACACCTGCTTGATTGTACTATCCGCTCTTTTCCGCCAGAACCACCAACGGCCTGACTTCTTTGGCATTTTCTCTTTCACCCAGGCCTCCTCTGTAGCCTAGTATAAACAAGAAGACAAAGGCAGTTACAATGAGCTAGTTACCAAATTACAATGATCCGCAAGAACTGACAATACATACATCGGAAAATAGTTACCTTTGGTAAATTCTTCTGAAATGCTTGTAGACTTAGAATCAAGGGTGCAGCTAGAGTCCAATTATAATATCTGAGAACAAAGACATTAGTTATGAGACAATACAGACCACATACTTAAAATATATCTCTTTTGTACATTGGACATCCACATTCACATGTGAAAATAAAATGGTTATTTACCTGTTTCCTATCTTTACTACCAGGTTGGGGTTATCTATAATTGCTGGATTTTCAGCAAATTCATGATAGGTGATGATATGCTCCATGAACCTTTCTGCAAATACAGAAGGGAGAGCAACATTAATTGAAGACTTAATTAAAGACCGATTAAAAAAGGTCAGTGGTGAGTCATAACACCTTAAAGTCACACAGAAGAATCAGGAAACTTTGTCTTCTATCAGCCACATCAGCTGAGGGCTTCTAAGAAACACATATGTACTGACACAGATAAGGATCGGTGAGAATGACAAGAGTGGTTGAGACATGAGAGAACGTACTGTTGTGAATCAGACCTAGTAAAATAGACGCCTGTCTAGCCTTTGCGGCCTTAAATGGAAATGTATGTACATATGAAGCCTTCTAATGTGCCTAATAAGTAATTGTAAGTAGTGAAACTTTGTAGTTACACAATGAATTTAGTACAGTATATCTCTGCTGGCTGAGATTAACTGTCTATCCTGCATAAAAGCACTAAGTGCACTTTTAACTACATTTTTTATGAGCGCCATTCTGGTGTACCTTTGGATATTTCAGCATTTTCTGTCAGGCCTCCACACAGAGAAAGAGTGACGTCAGGGAGGTCGCTAGCTGAGTCAGAAAGACACTCTGTCCCGCTGTCAGCTGCTGCACTGCCCACCGACTGTGGAGACTGTGAACCAGAGTGCATCTCTGAGTCCATCCAGTGCTTAGTCGCTGCCTCAGACTCACTGGAGCAACAAAAGAGTACAACACGCTATGTTTAGTTTTAAAATAGGCCACATTTAGCTTTCCATTTTTTTTTTCAAAAACAGGTCAAGCAGCAACATTAATTAGGTGTCTTTTTCATAATCTAACCTCTTAGGAAAATATCGTGCAGCAACATCAGGTTCAAGTACATTCAGGTCATCTAGGTAGATATCCTCAGGACCCTGATGCTGGCTCCTCTTTGGGACACCTTCGTTCAAGAGCACAATTATTTAGCAGTTAATGAACAATCATAACTAGTGCTAAGTAGGAGATGGCTGAAAAAGTGCCAATTGATAACCACCAAACATACCTTTCTTCTTAGAGGGTGAATCGCTCTGTTGGTTGTTAGAAGGGGTGGAGGTTGCCACACTGGATGGCAGGACATCCTGGGGCTCTGTGGGGGTCACAGGGCTGACAGAGCTTATGGTGCTGACAGATGCGCAAGGACTCAGATGTGCTACAGTGATAGGGGTGCGTGGCTCGGGCTTGACAATGGTACACACAGAGGAGGTGGCACCATCTTCTTTTTCATTCTCAGTCTCGTTCTCCATGGCCTCAGAGCTGAGGATGACGCGGAAGTGGGTGCTCTCTGATGGGGTGATGGTCACTGTTTTTAGTAGTTCTGGTTTCTCTTTTTTGGTGACCTGAATATAGGATTACAGGGTTACTTAAACGAGGGTATGCTGAAGACAATGTACTTAAGAATGTTGGTGGAGAGAAATGCTTACCCTAGTTGTTTCTGGAAACTCTCCCCAGGTCCACTGCATGTGGGACTCAGCTCTGAGCAAACTCTCTGAGGGCCTGACCACCAGTTCAGAATCACTCTTTGGAGAAAAGGCCTGAGACAAGCCGTGGCTAAAGGGATAGATAGGCAAATGCAAACAATAAGATAAGAGTCTATTTACGTGTCTCTGCATTCATGTCAATACATACCTATCATCTGCCGGCCAGTCACCATCAGACAGTGGATAGCCATCAAGGTTGTGTCTGGCTGCGGGTAATTTGGGGTCAACGTCTCTCATCGTAGTCGCTGAAGGTGACCTAAATTCAGGGTGAAACAGATACATTAAACAGATCAAGTAACCCAGTTCTGTTTAAACAGATCTTGGTCACAGCAGCAAGCATCGACCCGGAACCTACCTTGAGACACGTGCTGTGGCTTCCTCGTCAGAGCTCAAGTCCATCTCAAAGATCTCTTCGTTTTGCCCAGTGTTGGACATAGCAGCAGTCGTAGCAGCCGGTGCGTTAGCAGCAATAGCGTTACCAGTAGTGACGGACATGGGCGGGGTCAGCTCCTCTCTTCGCGGGTCTCCTTTGTGCTTCTTCCTCCGTCTCTTCTTCTTTTTTGTAGCTGTGGTGCTCGGAGCGGGAGGCTCCTCTGGGTCAGCGGGGTCATCCTCCAGATCTTTTGCCGCCCTGTGCTCAACCTCTGAGATCCAGAACAAGTGACTCTCGGTGGGGATTGGGGAGGTGGCCAGATGGGCAGGGACGATCTGCTAAAAGATCAAACGAGAATGCAGGAACTTACAGGTTTAGGATATGTTTAAACAAATGGCAAAGCAAAGCAGCATTAATGACCCCTACAGTGATGCACAGATCGCAGTTACATCTGCTGATCCGAAAGGCCAGGTCATAAGAATGAACATTATTATTAATAGCCCTATTAAAGAGAGAGGCTGTGAGCATTTACAGGTATAGAAGCGTTACTTCATTCATTATTTAAATCTCCCGACACGCCGACAGGATCAGTAAGGATCTAATGTTTATTAATGTTCTGTATTTGTCTACAAATCCAGGTTCATAAAGTTAAATTGTCTGGACCGATTAATCCTGATCTCCATCAGAGCTGTTTAAATGTCTATTTCAGAAGCTAAACTTTTAATTCTGTTTCGTCTGGAGAGTTTCTGTCAAGTTTATAACTACAGTTTTGTTGCTAAAATGTCCCACGATGCTCACAATATTTCTGTGACATTACTGCTTGGAAATTATTAAAATTACTGACTCCAGCCTCTCATACATCAATACAACACACAATAAAAAAAACATCTGGAAAGCTTGCCCTGCTCAACATAATTAAATAGGCAATATAGCCGACAGGGACTGGTAGAGGTGGAGTGAAATATCCATGCGGGTCCATTCTCTAAATCGGGTGGATGATTTATGCGTACATGTGCACATGGATGACGTCATAGCCGATCCATGAATCACCAGTGTCAGCATTATTGAAGTCTGACTGAAGTCCAGGAGAACAGAGCTATCACAATGAGAGTTTGGAAATCTTGAGAAATCGCCTGTCAAAATGTCACAACTGCAAAACAGTGGAGTAATTATTTCCTCACACAAACATTGCCCTAAACTTGTACGTCAAGATTCTTGTAAGCATTAAGATTGTTGTTGGTTCAAGGCATCGAGAGACACTGTCTTTCTGGTGTGGTGTGCACAAAAACAATGCTGAATCTGGTATGATCATCAAAACAAGTATGGAGTTTTCTTCAAATAAATTCTTAAGGCTGAAACACAAAACAATCTAATTCGAGAAACGTTGAAAGGTTCTTTTTTATTTTTCTAAAACAGCGGACTTCATTGAGCTGTGTAGTTAACTGGGTGCTTACATTCAGCTGCTCGGATTCCTGGACAAAAAAGGCCTCTCCATTGTCACCAAGCTTCATGTGCAGCTCTACTGGCTCTCCGTTCACTTCGATGTCGATCTGGAAGAATTTGTCAGAAGACACAAGCTGAACTCTTGCTGTAATGGTACAGTAATTGTGAAGCTCTTTCTCTTAGTAAATCAAGATCAGGACACTGAAAAGGGTGTTTACCTGACATCTAAACAGCATGTATGAATCTCTCTATATAAATCTAGATTGTGTCTTTTTAAATGATTTTGAAACAAATTGGGGTTGTTTTATTATACTTCCAACATAATAAGATTCCAACAAGGCACATAAAAGTCCTGTAGCTACTTAGAGGCCCATCTTTCTCCTGAGGCTTTACAAAACCTAATAAATGTATGTGTCCTCTGGGCTTGAATTATGTGGAGCCTGCCTGCCAATAGAACAGGGCCATTCATGTTTGCCAGGCAAACACCCAGTGGACCTGAGGCCAGTCAGAAACTTTACACCACAAAAGCAGAAAAACAGATCACGTCTGGCAGAGAATACAGAGGCTAGTTTTTGACTAACAAGTGCTCTGCTCACTCTGAGAACATGAAACCAAATCATCAATATTAATTCTCAACCCACGACCACCAACATTATCTGCTTGTTTTTTTTTAATCTGTTGTGTTGTAGCTTTCCTTTTGCTGATGTCCTTCGCTGACAGTGTGGTTTTGCATGCAGCCTCAAGATTTAATTTCACCCCCTCAAGGTTGCTAAGGGGAATGTATGTATGGTGAGTGATGGCTGGGAATTTCAATGCCCAATTAATAGTGAGCCAGAATAAATGAGGGTCCTCTTCAACTGTTCACAGTCAGCGACAGGTTACATTCACTAGAATGGCTGGGCTGGGGATTTGCCAACTCCATGCTGGATTACTGGAATTACTTGCAATGGCTGCCTGCAGATGCTCAAAATTAAAACATACTATTGGGTTGTTTCTCTCTGACAGCACTGAGTAGTGTTTACCCTATATGCGTTCAGCAGTGGTGCGTCACTATTAAAATGTCATCATTATTATATCGCTATAGCTATACAAGTTACTACCGACTTGTCCAATGTTGAGATCATCAGGTACAAACGTAGACTAAACTGGTCTGTCCTGTACAGACTAGTTCATCCTCAATTATTTTTCAGGTTTCAGATGAGTCTGAAAAAGTGGTTGTTAGGAAAAGAAAGGACGGAGGTGACTGGAGGAGCTGAGGTTAGTGAAGCAAACTAGTCCTAATGGGGAGACGTCTCTTTTTGGATTTTAATGGGCAAATAAAATGCACCTCAGAAAGGAGGTGGTTTCTCATGTTGCCTATTTTTTAAATGAATGTCTATACAGATAAAAGTTTAAGCTGTAAAATGAAGACATAAAAGGCAAACATGAACAATCGTATCTATAATGATTCTGAGGTCATATTATTATTACAGAGTTTTCCTGCCATTAAGCCTTAGGGGTGATGCCCAAAACATGCTGTGCCATAAATGTAAAATCACTGTGGAGAGCATCATAACCAACCAAATTACTTTCCCCAAATCTAATGGTTGTAGTTCCTCCCCAGTAGACTGATCTTTGAGTGTTGTTTATTTATTATCTGCTCTAGCTTTCCAACTATTTGTTCAGAGATATGGTGAAAATAATGGCACAATATGATGTGAAATTACATATTTTTCATTGGAAATTTTCTCGGGGGAGGTCCTCAAAACCCCCACCCTCCTGACCAATGTTATGTCCTGTATATGCTTCAATGTGGCATTTGTGTGAATATTCTTTGTTTTGATTTGTACTGTTTTAATGCATGAATTGTTTTTTGTGTCTCAATTGTGTGTAACACACTTAGTATGTCTACTTTCTTCTGCTTAGTTTTGTTGTAAATATAATTGTAATGTATTTTATTGGATGTATGCCTATTGACAACTGGCCGGGGACAACAGCTGGAAATTAGCCGCAGAGGCTAAAGCTGCTCTTTTTATCAAAAGAGACTGTCCACAATATTATAAACAAATAAACTAAACCATTACTACTACAACCACCACCAAAACATTCATCTAAAGCTCACATAAAACTATGTCAAAACACTGAAATTTTAAGCTATTCTAATGTGCATCGCATGCTCATGGACACAAGAGCAATACTGCTGAGAGATGCTGTGTTGGGGTTTTATATTCAGACATACTATGTACTACCACAAAAAATGTTTGCTTCATTTGCTAGGATGGACTGGAGTTGATGCAAAAATCTGCATCAACTCCATCCTAGGGGAAACACTGCTCAGGTCATATTTTGTTCTGACCAGAAGAACAAAGAAGGGCAGAAAAGAAGTACTATTTTTGAATAGCTGAGTGTAGTTATTATCCCAAATGCTTTTTTTTATAATCAAACAGTACTTTAAAACCCATTTCTGGCTGCCAACCAAAGTGACTAGTGTATGGGGACAGACAAACCATACACAGCCAAATGTAATTAGTATTTGGCCGGCAACTATAGCTTAATTCCCATTCTGGATTTTTAAAAATATCTGCATGTCAGGAACAAATCTGTCATCACTCATTTGGTCTAGTACCACAACACACACACACACACACACACACACACACACACACACACACACACACACAGCCCTCAAGAATCAGATAAGTGAGCTCAGGGACACATGCATGACTGTTACACAACAACGCTTATTGTTGAGGCCTTCTTCACGTTTTCTCCACCTCCCACACATTCAAGTTGTAGAGCTGTTGCCATAGGAACCACTCATTCAGTCCTCCCTCTGAGCCCATCAGCATTCTGGGTAGGTGGTGAGACAGTGTCAATCCCCCACAAATCATCACACACTCTGGTCCACAAGCAAGCAAATAAGCTTTAAGTGTCAAGTCCTAGCACACCATTACTGTTCTAAGAATAGAAGGGACAGGTTCACCAGTGATAGTAATGTCGTGGGAAAACACATTTTAGCCATTACTACTTAATAACTAAAAACCAAGGACTATTCTGAATCCTTAGAAGCTGATAAATTTAAGTAACCTTCACTTCACACACAAGCTGGGTTATTAACTGAAGCTAAAGCAGGTTTCTATTAAGATCCTTCTAGGAGAGCTGTTGTTTTTTTTTTAAATCACAAACAATATCAAAACCACTGCAAGCAGGCTTAACTTGGCTTAACGCAAAATGTACTACAAAAATGCTTTCTCAAGTGAGAAGTGAGCGCTAAAATTGTCCCTCTACAGTGATTAATTGGATCTTTTCTGCAGGCGTAAATGTATAGTAGTAACTGCTATCAGTGACGGAGAACATTCCACCTATGCCCGACAAACAGAACCAGACACTTCCTTGAATGATTCAAAGATGACTCCATTGAAGCTATAAATTCTGACTAAAGCCCTAAGCATCATAAGTGGTAACCTGAACAGGTCAACTTATATTCAGTGAGGCACAGATGACCCAATTCATGGATCTTTTACATTGTCTCCTACAGCTTATGAATATGGAAGAAATAGAATTTGTTTTAAACCTGTTTTTTGCTAGCCAAAATTAGCAACCCAATAAATATGTTAACGTAAATTGTGGATGCCTTACCAACAAAGCCACGGCCAAAAGTGCCAAATTCAAGGCTTCAAAATGGTAGTCCGCAAGTGACGTCACGGTGGCTACTAGGGCCGGGCGATAATTATCACGATAAATGTCAAATCAATATTTCTTTCAAGTTTAAAGGCTGATTTTTGCTCCTGAGTGAAAAATTGAAGAAACCAGATGGTTAATTATGTGGTTAAACTTTTCTTTATGGTCAGGATGTGACAAACACTTGTATGGAGGTCTGATCCTGACAAATTCAGAAATAAACACAGAAATAAATAAATGCTCAATAAATAAACAAGCATCTGATTAAATGCACAAAAAAAATGAAGTAAATTAATGTAGGCAGTAATTCAATTATTCAAGGAGACATAAGTGTATATATCTATTTTAATTAGCTTCTTTACTTATTCATCTTCGTAATAATTACCTTAGTTTTTATCTGTTATAATCTTCAACTTTATTAATTACTTATTTTTTAAATGCATTTATTTGTGTGTGTGTTTTATTCTTCCGTTGCATTTTCTACCCTATTTATTTCTCCTATGATATTTATTTCTGCCTGTCCTTTTTACATTTCTCTATGCATTTCTGCCTCATTATGCAAATGAGGAAGGGCTGTGTCTCAAGGGGTGAACTTCTGCCCTATTGGTGGACCAGTCAGACGGGAGAGCTCTAAGCCTACTCCTGCCTTCCTTCAGTGCACCGAGGTGTTTAGAAACTCTATTTGAAGACGATACTACCAGCCATGTCTTCCTTCACTTTTCGTGTGGACGCTCTGACAGACAGTGTTTTCATTTAGTGACACATAACTGCAGGAAAGTGAGCTGTTGTTTCTGAGAGTCACCTGGTCAGTTAGTCACAGCTAAATCTGGAGTGCACTCCTATTCGAGTATTTACGGTAAATGCTCCCACATGAAGCAGCTCCTTGCTCTGATGTTTCAGCTGCTGTTTCAAAAAAAACGCCATTTAGGATGAAAATTCAACCGTGGTGTTGTGCCGGGAGATGCAGTGACTTAACCAGCAGTGAGTAAGAAATATTATGAATAATACATGTAATTTAATAAGCTATGAGGAGAGTAAAAGTCCGTTAGCCGCTAGGCTAATTTATGTAGTGTTAATATCATATAGGCTAAAGCTCGTAAGCTAGTGGTGGTGACTAACAAATAAACTACTAACTTGACAGTTACCATTAAGAAGAATTTTATGCTTCTGTTAATTGTGATTGCTATTAAGCCGTGTTTTATGTGTGGTGGTGAAGTCAATTTAAAGTTAACTTTACTGTACTTAACCAGTCGAAATGATTTAATAAAGGCTAGCTACTGTACTTCTATGTCTTACACAGAAGACAATAGGAGGCATGCGGAGAACATAACCATATTCGTCAGAGAAGCAGCAGCAGGGCAACAAAGAAAATAATCCCCAAATAATAAAATAAATTAATTTTATATTTCCCTTTACATGCCTTGTTGTTTATGTGTAGATACAGAGGAAGAATGGGACACAGCACACATCTCATCGTTACTGTGTGTTAGAGCATGGGAGAGCAGTGGATATTTTTAATACAGCCTACATCCCTAATATTACTGTGTAACTATAAGTGGAAAACATTCAAGATTTTGTACAACTGTCTGCATGGTTTATTCATCTTGTGTAATGAGAATAAATAGGCCTACTAGGCTCCCCTCTACTTTGACATTTAAGATTAGCTGTGTTTGATCCACCTTCATACACATATTTGACATTACTGTACAACTTGAGAAAGGTAAGTTTTCCGCTCCAGCCTGTCTATAAGGAAAGCATTTTTGGGATTAAATGGGCTTTATTAGCTGCTGCAGTGCAGGAAGAACTGCATAAGAGAAATGCATAATAAATCCTGGGACAAAATCTGCCCAAACATACTGTACAGCATGTAGTCTAATGAACAAGCCTTGTGTTATAGCTGACTGAGAGTGAAATGTTTAATTTTTTTAATTGATGTGGTCATAGTTGTCCACAACTCAAATCAGAATTTAAGGAGAAATGTATGTATGTATACCACCTCAAGAAGACTTCCTATCAGAAAAGTTGGAAGGTATTTCAATGTACAACTGCAGTACTTAAATCTAAGTAAAGTAATTTCCCTGACATTTTTGTGTTATTTTACTTTTAATACACATGTAACATGTTTTATACTTCCTGTGAATACAATCCAATTAATCTTATTTTCATACTATATATATATCTGTATATAATTTGATAAATTATGTTGTATGTGGTGCTTGCATCGTGTGCTATTGAGACTTCGTTGCCCTCTTCAGATAAGACTCTCAGACTGCAACATGCGTCTTTGCAGAGAAACAGACAGAAAAAAGTCTCTAACTCTGCCTGTCAGCTCGCTCTGCGCCATTAAAACTGAATTTACCATACAGAATAGAATACGAGTGCACTCCAGATTTTGCTGCAGCTAGCTGACCGTGTGCTTCTCCCTATACCGCAGTTCTGTGTGCACGCCGCAAACTGAAAACACTGTCTGTCACACGAAAAGGGAAGGAAGACATGGCTGGTAGTATTGTCTTCAAATAGCACTGAAGGAAGCCATCTGACTGTGTGAGGAGCAAGCTTGTTGATGTGTGCAGGTAGAGTAGGCCTAGAGCTTTCCCGTCTGACTGGTCCACCAATAGGGGAGAAGTTCACCCCTTGACACACAGCCCCTCCTCATTTGCATAACAAGGCAGAAATGCATAGAGAAATGTAAAAAGGACAGGCAGAAATATACCATTGGGGAAATAAATAGGGTAGAAATGCAAAGGAAGAATAAAACACACACACACACAAATAAATATATTTTAAAAAGAAGTAATTAATAAATAAAGCTGAAGATTATAACGGACAATAAATAAATAAGGTAATTATTACAAAAGGTGAATAAGTAAAGAAGCCAATTAAAATAGATACATTTATATCTCCTTGTATAATTTAATTACTGCCTAAATTTATTTATTTTTTTGTGCATTTAATCAGATGCTTCTTTATTTATTTATTGAGCATTTATTTATTTCTGTATTTATTTCTGAATTTGTCAGGATCAGTCCTCCAGTTAGCACATTCAAACTAATATATTTTCCAACAAATATGATTAGTTAATCTTTCAGGCCTCTTTTCCTCAACAAAATAAATATTTTAATAGAACAATTTAGACCTAATTTGTTCGTGATTCAAATTAATTTAAGCAAATATTTATTGACGATATATTGAACATTTATTATATTGTTATTGAGGAAAATTATATTGTGATAATTATCCTTACTGTTTTATTGCCCAGCCCTAGTTAGTTAAGAGTGCCATCACACTACCACACATTACACTACCAGATGAAAAACTGCAGCATTTACTAAATATTATGGCTATTATCCACATCCCAATTTCAATGAAAGGGAGGCTAATGTGACTATACATTCAGGGAGATGTCAATCAAGCACATTTTATCCACATGGCCCTGAAAATTGGACTAATGGGCAAATAAATGAAAACACTTGTGTGGCAGACCACTTGAGTGTACAGCCTTTAAATTAGTAGTCAGTAACCAAAAACCTGAAAGCAATCTGGCTTTGTTTGGACACAACCTCTAACTCATTCAGTACTAGCCACAATTACTGTATGTGCCAAGTTGTCTTGAAGACTGATTATCCTGTATTGCAATTCAAAATAGCACAAATTGAACTACACATTGTTAGGAAGAAGGCCTGGTGCTTCAAAGGGAAATAAAACTAGCTGCATTCTCTCAAATGTGCATTTAGTAACACCTATGTGGAGGTTTCTTGATACGGAGGTCAGGAATCACAACAATTACACAACTTCAACATGTCAGAGAGAGAAAACACAATGACAGCAATAACAATAACAACAACAACAACAACAATAATAATAATAATAGGAAAAAAGTTAAACTTACCACTTTCTCTTTAGAGCGAAGTACACCCAGCTTGCCAAAGCGCACATGGAATGGTGAGCACTGGTAAGTGCCATCTCTCTGGCGGACAACCACAACATCGATGCAACCTGACAATGTGGCCTGATTTATGCCCTTGTACAGTTCTTTGACGGTGACCAGCACCTGACCTGCCAGCTGGCCTACGTAGTTCATGGTGTCCGCCTGCAAGGGGGCAAAATAACAAAATATTAGCAGAGTCAAGGGAAAGACAGGATTAGGGAGTAATGTTTAGTAAGAGTCTAGAAGAAGAGAGCATTTTGGAAACCCTAACCCTACTTTTCCACTTGACCTTCCTCTCTCAGTCTATCCACTGTTGTCTCTTCTTTTAATCTTCTTCTGGACAGTTGACACTGTCTCATTTGTCTTTTGCTTTCATCTCTTAGCTCACACTCTGTCTGCCTGCCCTGTGGTGTCTGTTAACTCCTGACCTGCATACAGGCTGACAGAGTGGCACTGTAACCCTGTCACTGGCCGCTGTCCCACATGAGGAACATCAGAGAGGGGGGCGGACGGCAGGGCTGCAACAATGAGGCGAGACAACCTCACACAGAGTTCCCACTGCTCTGCTGCCATGGAAGCAGGTGACTTCCTGTTTACATTCATAACTCTCGGCTAAGTATGTCAAATACAATAATAAAAACCATAGTTCTGTCTATAATTATATGTGCTTGAATTAACTGTGCAGCTTCTCTCAAAGCATTTTTTGTCACTTGGTAGAAGCAGTTTCTAAGACTGTAAAGAAAATCTATAAGCAATCTGTTGAAGCTACAAAATCAGAGAGAAAGTTACACACAAGCTGAGGCTAACCATACATAATCACACTTTCCAGCCTTCCTGTGTCTTCTTCACTGAGTTTACTGAATGAGATTTTGTGCAGTCATACGTGCACTGTAACAGAGTGCATAACTATTACTATTACTTGCACAAACATGATTTGGTTTGCTCGGGTCAGGGTCTAGTTTAGTGGCGGTTGTAAACACATTCCCCTGCTGACTTCATTGGGTTTATGTAACCTGAAATGCTCCTGTCTCACACTGACCTTTTGTTCAGATCCTAGCCATGAGAGCAGTGGGGAGTAGGGTAGAGAATAGGGGCATTTGTGCAAGGGTGGCATCATGGACTACTGGAAGCTGGCATTATATGTTTTTAATCAGAGAATAAGCTAGTGAATACATAGCAATAGAATAATAATATATGCAGGCTACTTAGAATTCTCACACTTCTAAACACACACTAATGAAATCACTGGCAACACTGTAAGTTCAAATAGTTGAAGAGGGGTTTAGATGATTTGAGGTGAGGCCATTGGTCAACAACAGGAAGCTGTTTCTAAGAACGTCAACCACCATGTGGTACATCATAGGCCCTTTGTTGACAACATCGGAAAAATCATCTTCTAAAGTTTCACAGGAGTGGTCTGGAAAGGCGCCAGTATTCAGTTATCTAGAAAGTAGTCACATGTGACAAATATGCTTTACCTGGCTCTGCTCATTGTCTTTTTCTTCCTTCAGTGTCAACTCAGAAGCACACACATAAGTAGCAGCTATATTGCCAAATCCCAAACTACAAACTACACAGGACAGGCTTGGTATTTTGGATAAAAAATGACTAGCTGATTAGACAGGAGATGCAGGTTTCATGACCTAGCCTAAATAGTTTTGACCATCTCAAACATAAAACTCTAAATCAGTGTCCCACCCTCTTCTTTCTGACTAAATTCCTAAGAGACAGTCTTGAATGCAGCCCTAAAACTGACCTCATCCATCTGATTCACTGTGGTCAGGTATCAAGCCACTATGCATGGCTACATTAAAAAGCCATTAAAAAGCCAATAACCCAAGTAACCTGCAAACACAAAAAATAGAGGATGACTAACAAGAGTAGTAGGCCCTCCAGCATCAAGCCAAAGCTGCATCCGACTAACAGACTGGTCAGCGCTGACTCACCAGGGACCAAGACGACCTCAGAGACAAGGACTCATCCTGTTCACTGTTGTCTGTGTTGTCCTCCGTGTTGCTTCCCAGGAGCTCCCTGTCCCCCCAGGATCTATGTCTCTTCATCACTGTTAGTGGAGCACCAGCTCTTACTTTGCCCACCTCTGGGTACTCCAACGGGAACAATTTTTTCCTCCCTCTGATTATGATAATGCCTCCCTGCCATCCTGTATCCAATACCAAATATGCCCACCTAATCACGTTGGAGTAACCCCCCCCCCGCCAGCGGTAAATATCACTATGCCGCTATCTGACGCCAGTGGCAATTGTGCAACACTGTCATAAATTTTGACATCCTTCTTCTCAGGATGTGCACTTTTGCTCGTCCAGTCAGCTGACAGGACACAAAGGGTTCAGCCAATAGGATAGCCTCTTTAAAGTAGCGGTGTGTGGCTGATAAGGGACAGCTAATTCCTGTGAACGGCCACGCAATGTTTTTCCCCTGATAAGAGTACAAGCTCAGGGGGGAAAAAAACAAGCAGTACGGAGCAGTGTGACATTCAGTCACATGTACAGAACAATCTTTACTTCGTGTGCTAGTCACTGTGCATGACTAATCTAAAAGTGGGAGTTGATGACATTGATTGGCTGCAGGAGTCAACCAATGGGACATTCAGTACATTGGACTTCAACATGATGATATTTTGTTGTTCATTACCCCTTGATCACACAAGTAAACATAGGAAAGTTCTGTAAATACAAAATGGATAATCTCTGCAGGGATTAGCCTATATTAAATATCAATACCTCATATCTAATTTTAAGCATATCTACACTACAGTGAATACAGATGGAGTGGGTACACTAATGACCATGCAGTCCAAGCAATGATGAATTCAAACATGTTTTTGTCAGAGGTTCTCGCTGGTCCGACTTCCGGCATCCTAGCCTGGTTTAGCTCTAAGTGAATGCCTAAGATAAACATAATGCATGAGGCTCTTCTAAGAAGGCCTCATCGCTAATGTCCCATCTGCTAAGCCTTTTGTGAACACAATCAAATAAAACACAGAGATCCCACTGAGTGCAAGGCTGGTGGTTCATCCTTTTCCTGTGCTAGGATCTATTCTGTGTTCAAATACTTGACAAGAGTCATGAATAAACAGATGAATATTCCTTTGGAAATGAAATGTTATGAGTTATTATAATATAAAGTAATACATTACTTGTACCGTGTACTGAGTCACAAACAACCCTGCAGCACCTGAAGACACTATGCAAGAATGTAGAAAGTTATTCCCTATTAAGAATTGCAAGACCAGGCATCTGGGTATTATGGTCCTAATTACTCTTACTAAAGAATTATGGTCTTCAGCTGGAAAGATCCAGTGCATTATTTTTTTGACAGTGACAAAAATAATTTCAGTTCTGCAAGTGAGCTGGCCAACCAGACCACAAAAGGATCATGTTACACTCTTTCGAGTATTAGGTTACACCATAGAGCACAAAAGGTCTGTGTAAAATAAACTGACAACCACAACCCCAGACAAATAGTGTTATTTTCAGGTCTTGTGTTGAAATGCATGGCTGATGTGAACTCTGGAGATACGCAAAGCAGAAGTGGTCAAAGCCTAACGCTAATTCGGCCATGATTGAGGCTACAGCCTGTGAAAAAGAAGAAGCCATAAGCACTGTTAAGCGTTCGTTGTTTCTTTTAAGTGAAGGTACTTCAAATCCATTGTTTACCCAATCTTCCTCAGCTGTGGCAAGCGTAGAAAGGGACATCCAGACAAATGTTTTTCATGTTTGGTAAACTGCAGTCTTCTTCACTGAGATTTCAGACTCACTGTGTAAAACTCAAAGTCACAACCAAGAAAGTTAGCTTTGGCCTTGAGCAATAACCACTGCTGCCAGCTGCAATGTGATCAAGTACACCTACCTAGTGGATGCTTTAAAACAGCCCTGCAATAAATGTGTTTTTATTCAGCTTTATGGTAATTTGGAGGCTGTAGTTTGCGGCTGCACTGTGTGTTATACTGGTAAGTGCTTCTAGTATTTAGTCTGCATAACACATTACAACGTTACAGCCCCACAAACTACAGCCTCCAAAATGACCATGAATGTAGTTGAACACATACAGCTAACAGGAAATGAACAATTGTGAAAAATAATGCATGGTTGTTGTATTAGACTGCATTCGTTTTAGCTGCTAAACCTAATAAAAACTGGCACCTGAGTGCAAATGAGTTAAATTGTACTGCTGTCCTAATAAAGCAAGGTATTTGGATTTGTAGGGTTGCCTAAGATAATAGTGATAGACTTAAGTGTCAATGATTAACTTACAGTATGGAGCGGAGCTAACGTATCTCACATTAACATAAAACGCCTGTAAAACTTTTTTATCTTAACCTACTTGAAAACTATCGAGGTTCTAGTTTAGGTGTTTTCAAGTAAGTTAAGTTACCACCCACAGGCAGGCAGATTTGATGAGGTGGCAAAGACGTAATAGTTAAGTAGCTAACGTTCCCAAAAAAACATGAATTGACACAAGCTTGCTGTATGTCGCACACTTTTTGGGACTAAAAATGCTAATTTCAGAGATTAAAGCTCGCATGTCGCTTGGTTGACATGCCACCAAAACACAAAAGCCTTTAACGTTACTGAAATTGCGGAAATAAAAGAACAGAAACCAAAAACGAATATTTGAGTCTGTAATGATTTGCCATTTGTAGCGATGTAAAGCGCACACAGAGGAGCAGAAAATACTAAACAGGTAAATAAATGAATGGAGATGGGGCTAGCAGTCTGCCAGCCAGTTAACATCTCGGCTAGTTTCGATGTTATCGTGGGGTCACCGTTAGCTAATAGCAAACGGTGAAACTTTAACAGTCAAGAGTCATTGCTAAAGATGCGGCGCCGGTTTTTAATTAAAGTGGTCACGTTAATGTGTTGCGTGATGAATGCATTACCAGTCACGTAGCTACGTCTCCGAGTTAAATGAATCCATCGTAGCTGAAATTTGTTAGCCAGCTTACATGCTAGCTAACATTAGCTGACGGTACAATCAGAAATATGCATTATCACAGGCAGCGGCGAGCGGCAGTCAAATGGGTTGAAATCACCGTGTCGCTAACTATTTACCTTTCGGTTGTTTCAGCGGAATGCTGTCGACGAATGATTTTATGGTGTCTTCAGTGAGTCCCCATGTCTTTGCCCGTGAAACTCCTCAAAAGCGTCCTGACGTGTCTGTGCTTGGACCACCGTGGCTGGCTGACTGGTGTGTGTGGCTGGAAACAGGCAGCTGAAGTTGATGGGACAGAGCCGCACAGTGGCGGCGCACTCGCACAGCTGGCGACACAGTTTGGTCCAAGCACGGTTAAACTTCATTCACAATGTAATGGAGCGGCATCATTCTATTTAGTAAGACTTTGCCCTGAGCAGCCCATCTTAGAGGATATTTATTTACAAGTGTTACACAAAGGATTGCATATGTGGATGAGAGGTAAAATCTCTCTTAAATAAATACTTATTCTGATGCTTGGGACTCTTGGTTCCCCTTTAACGAGACAACTTTGGGAACTTATAATGAGTTGCACCTTTTCTAATAGGCCATCATTAATGGCACAAACCCATGAGCTTTTTGCAAATCAAATAATTTAACGTCAATGAAGGCAATGCATTTCTCTCAATGAATGGCAAAGGGAAACCCCTCTGACGGTGCAACTGTTTTTTTCCCCCAAGAATGAGTGCCTTGAGGAAAAAAGACACGTTTAACTTGTTCATTAAACACACAGCCCCAGTCCAAATGGTGCAGGGGAGTTTATCTCTATGGTTTTCTTCCATTGTACCTGAAATACAATATTACCACCACTTTTAACATACATTATCTGGCGCTAACATGACTACTTCTACAGGAAGACCTTAAAGTATTGTGCCTGCACAACTTTGTAGTTTGCGTGAGACGCCTTGGGTGAACCAGTTTCATCATGTGTTGTCACGCTTAAACTAGCCTGCTCTACATGCGATCAGGGTTTTCCTGCTCCACCTCTTGGACAAGCTGTTGCAATTATTGACACATATAGCTTGCAAACAGCACATGTAAGGTACATAACATGCATGCACACAGAGCAATTTAAAAAGAACAGCTATAAAAAAAAACACCAAGAGCTCTTAATTGGCATGTGACATATTCACTGACACATTTTTCCAAATTAAATAGTTGGTAGGAAGTTCATGACATAATTCTTTCCTTTATTTTATTTTATTTTTTACAGTACATAAACCTTAGGCATGCCTTGGTTTAAGAGGTCAAAGACTTTCCGAATTAAATACTGTAATATTCTAAGAAAACAGCTGGCCTTCAAAGCTGTTAAAACAATCACAGGTCAACCATTTCCCATGATTATACATGATTTTTTCTGCTGATAGTGGCAAGAAGACATGTCAAGCAACTGCAAGCACATAATTATCCTCTCTGCATCTCATTCATTGTTTGCTTCCTTGACAAGCAATGCCCAAAGCTCTTTAGCCCAGCACATGAAAGACGCAGGAGCAAGCAGCTGTATTCATCATTTATTTAAACTGCTTTGGTGCACCGGCATGTGCCGGGGTAAAATGCTTTGGAGATAGCCCAGTCGTTCATCTTTTCTGCTTTATTTCATCACTCTGCGTCATCGTTTAGCCTTTTTTCTCCTCCTCCTCGTCTGGGTTGTAGACGCTGACGGTGAATTCGCCAGATTCTGTGCCGTACTTGTTCTTGACCACCAGGGCATATTTGCCAGAGTCAGACGTGCTGACGGCGGCGATTGTGATGCTGGCGAACTTGCCGTGCTCGAACTTGAGTTTGTAGTGGTCGTCGGACACCAGTTCCTTTTCGTTCTTCATCCAGCATACCTCAGGTACGGGCTCGCCCCAGACATTGCCAGTCAGGTTTAGGGACTGAAGAGAAAAAGAGGACGGCAAGGGTTTGATGTGTTCCAAACAAATACACTGGATTCCACTGGGGAAAGAGATGCTCCAAGGAATGACACAATGAAAAAGAAACAGGAAGGTGAGACAAAGAGCTTAACACAGTGAATATTTAACTTATGTACCTTGCCCTCTTGGATTGCAACCACGTCTGGTAAGCCTCCAACAACACGAGCGCGGTCTAAACAAGAAATACAAGAGTGAGCCAAAAAGCAAATGTCAGTCAACCTGTGGAGCATTTGTCTGTTGAAACACATAATAATATACACTGACTTTTAAACTCATATTTTTAACTCTACTCTATGCATGAATGATATTTTAAATAAGTTTTGTCTAGAAATGTCCTTTCCTCAATTCCAT